CGCGCGGGTGACGGTTGGGGAGGGCAGCGATTTCGAGAGCAGCGAGGGAAACCTTAGCCGTCCGCCCCGCCCACGGAGCCCGCTCTCCAAAGCCTGGGATTAGGGCCCTGGAGGCTGGCACCACTCCCCGGCCAGGTGTTCCTACCAGGGCCAGGTGCGCCGCTGCCCCGCCCCGGCCCCGGGAGCCCTGAATAATGGCCGAGAGCGCGAGGAGCCGGCCGCAGCTGTGCCTAAACAATACCGGGAGGGCACCCGAGCTGGCAGGTGTCTCCCCACCCTCCCCCAGGGACAGTCACTGCAGGCCTGGGGCGGGGTGGGCAACAGGTGCTGACACAGGAGCCGCACCGGGGGACAAAGTCTACCCGGACAGATGTCAGCGCCCTCTGTGCGGGCCGAGCTGCGCGGCGTCCTCCGGGCCGCCAGGGGCGCTGCGGCTGCGCTGACACGGACGACGCTGCGATCCCATCACGCCTGCGACCCGGTTACTACGCGCGGGGCAGCCATGGCCACCGCTCTTGCGTTTCGCCACCTGTGCCGAGCGCTACCTTCCCGTCTCTGTCGGCGCGTGGATCTGCTGTGGTGAGCGCCCCTGCCTCGCCCCTCACCTTTCCGTCTCCCCCAGTCGTGCGGCCTAGCCACGAGTCCCTGACCTTAGCCCTCCGCAGGAGGACACCTCGACGGGGCCACCGGCTCTCTCCCGCGGATGACGAGCTGTACCAGCGGACGCGCATCTCTCTGCTCCAAAACGAGTTCCCTCAGGCTGTGTACATCGACAGCTACAACAGCAGAGGCTTCACGATCAACGGAAACCGCGTGCTTGGCCCGTGCGCGCTGCTCCCGCAGACGGTGGTCCAGTGGAATGTGAGCCCCACCCTGCAGTGAAATTTAAGCCAAAAGCCATTCCCTCCTAGCAAATTTAGCTTTATTTTGTGGCCTGTTTAGTATCTCTGTGGGTAGACTGTGTGGATTTGACATGTTGAACGGCCTCTGCTCCCATGCAGGTGGGATCCCATCGGGATATCACCGAAGAGAGCTTCTCCCTTTTCTGGATGCTGGAGCCTAGAATAGGTATGGGGGAGTGGGTAGCGCTGGGTCCTACTAGCCACCTGCCTCAGACCCTCAACACTGGGTTGCAAACCAACACTTAGTTAACCTTCTCCCCCTTCCTTAGAGATTGTTGTGGTGGGCACTGGAAACAAGACTGAGCGGCTTCACCCCCAAGTGCTACAGGCCATGAGGCAGCGAGGCATCGCTGTGGAGGTGCAGGATACGGTAGGTCTAAAGACATGGAAATCCTACCCAGTTCAGGCCTACTTAGCCCAGGCATGCTAATTGTGGTGTTTTCCTTGCAGCCCAATGCCTGTGCCACTTTCAACTTCCTGTGCCACGAAGGTCGAGTGACAGGAGCCGCCCTTATTCCCCCTCCTGGAGAGACCATGCCCACTCTGAGTGAGACTGCAGAATGAAACAGCAGGAACACTTTGCAGAGTGCAGGGGCTCCAGTGCTTTCCCAGCCCCCTGCCTGTTGGCACTTTCAACACCTGTCATGTTTACCAGGATAATAGCTTACAAGTATCAATAGCTGATGTGGCTGTGGACTGGGAGTTTGGAAATGCAAGGGTTAATTGTCTTCCACACAGTGTAGGGTTTCTTGCCCTCTGACAGGGTGGGAAGCAGGGTTCTTACTTGCTCATATGCAGATTCAAGGAGACCCCAATAGCTGTCCTGACCTAACAAGGACTATACTTTTTATGGTGTGATTGGTGTAAAATTACGTGTATCTATTGAACTCAAAGATCAGTTGTCATTTTTTTTTTTTTTCAAAACTTTTATTGAAAAATTCAAGGCATATACTGGATCTCTTTTCAGAAAAGCCGCTTCTCATACCTGTAGGCAGAGACCCATCTGTGAGTTCAGGGCAGAAAAGAGGTGGTCTGAGGCTGGCTGAGATTCCCACCCCAGCACAGGGCTACTTACGAATGAAGGCTGTGGACACCACCTTCCACCTGAGCTGAGGATGTTCTCTTCTCAAACTTGAGTTCCCCAGAGTACATCATGGCTCTGCAGAAGGGCAGGTTAGATGCAAAGGGTCGGAGCTGGCCAGTCCCACCCCCCTCTACTCATGCCCCAGCTACCCAAGCTCACCTGACTTGGGTTAAACTCTTGGCACCAATGTCCTGACAGGAATGCTGGATGCCAGCAATCAAATAAGGGACGAACTTGTGGATAGACCCTTTGTCCTGCACAGCTCCTGAAACTCCTTGGGCCACTTTGATTTTGTCAGCTTCACTGTTGGAATAGGCAAAGAAATAGGCAAAGTTACCACAGGGATAAGACTAAAAGCAGGGTTTGGTGGGGCGACTTGTTTGCCTGTCCTACCTGAAATATCGGTTCTGGCTGCTGAGATGCTTGTCCATGGCATCAAGAGAACCCATACCACGGTACTTTTTTAGCCGGATCCCATCTGAGAAGAAGTACTCACCAGGGGCTTCGGTGGTGGCAGCCAAGAGGGAGCCCATCATGACTGTGGACAGATAAGTGAGCTAGGGCTGAATCTGAGCAGTACAAAAAAGGGGACGCCACTTGGCCCTCAGGTGACTAGGCCTCACCTGTAGAAGCTCCAAGAGCCAAAGCTTTGGCAATATGACCCACATTTTGGATTCCTCCATCAGCAATAACAGGAACACCAAAGCGCCGAGCATACTCAGAAACCTTGTACACTGCTGTTGCTTGGGGCCGACCACAGGCCAACACTGTTGAGAGATGGAACAACAGATGATGTGTGGTGTTGAGATGGGATACAAGGGGTCACTTACAGGACCCAGGAGCTCTGAAAGACACCTATACCAAGTCAGTAGCTGAAAGAGAAGTGTCTGGGATGGCTGCTACTCATCTGCTTTGAATAGTACAAATAGCTGTGACTGCTTCGCCTCTACTGAGTGCACGTGCGCAGGGCCCAATGCAGCCTCAGGCACATGCAGTTTATTGCAACCGGGAAGCCCCGCCCAGCTGGTATCAGATGGGGAAAGAGTACCCGTGCAGTTAGTAGTATTCAGAGGCACCAAGTCAGGCCTAGCCCTTCCTGCATAGTGGGCAGCTCAGGCAAGATTGGGGCAGTGGGAATGGAGAAGAGAGACTCAAGAATTGGTTGTTGAGCCACGCCTACTGCAGAGAATTGTGGGCAGAGCAGGGCCTACCTCAGGAAGGAGGTCCTGCTCTATGAGCACCCTAGGAAGGAGCTGTGATGTCAAGCAGCCCCCAAACCATGGTCTGTACATCTTTTTGCCCTGCCCACCCAACAGCACCACAACCCTGGGAGCTACAGCTACAGTCAACCAAGCAGCCGGGCAGTGGGCAGCTAGGCCGGGCCAGTGCGCCGGGCCGGACTTACTATAGCAGCCCGTGACAGTAGAAGGGCATTTGGGGCTGTGGGACTTTATGTCTGGTGGGATCTTGGGAGCCGCTAAATAAAACAAACAGACCAGAGTTTAGAGAGGGCACAGAGCAGGAGCAAGGAGGCCAGGCTAGGCAAAGAGTGGCAGGTGAGGGGTGACAAGAACTTGTCTTGCTTCCAGCCATGTCACCCATCCAAAAGGCCTGTTTGGCCCTAGAATTGCCCATGTAGAACTCAAGTTCCCCTAAGAGCCGTTGGCCCCAATCAAAGCGTATTTTTACCTTCCTGAGTAATGCAGATGGAACCACACCCCATGCCAACTCGCAGAGCATCCACACCTGCGTCTATGAGGTTCTTGGCTTGAGCAGCAGTGACTACTACAGTGAAACAGAAAAGATAATGAGGGCTCAGGTGGTGAGAGCACAAAAATTCTTACCCACCAGAGTGCTGTCTTCTCTTACCATTGCCTCCAATGACTTGGAGATTGGGGTATTTCTCTTTCATGTATTTGATCATATTGATTTGGAAAATGGAGTTTCCCTGGGAAGAGTCCTAGGACAGGAAGAAGTTTAGCCAGCTACATCATGATATGGCAATCACCCCTACAGGCCCATCCTGCTTCATGTTGTAGCTTACCAAAACCACTACATCCACACCAGCAAGAGCCAGTAAGTCCAGCCTATACTTGTCATCCTCATGAGTACCAATGGCTGCCCCACATAGTAGCTGCTTTTTGGCATCTTTGGAAGCCAATGGGTAATCACGATTCTTCTTCAGGTCTGTCCGAGCAATGATGGCTACCAGCTCATCATTTTCATTCACAATGGGCAACTTTCCTGAAGACAAGCCAGGATGTGAATCAGGACCCTGAATGTTTCTGTGCCCCTTCCCACCTCCAGGACTTACCCTTTTTACTGCGCTGCAGAATTTCATTTGCCTCCTTCAGAGTGATGCCTGCAGGGGCCACCACCAAATCTTCCCTCTTTGTCATGATCTAGATGGGTCATGAGGACAGAAGAGTCAGACCAGGACCTACCTTCCCCACAGGCATCATCATCCAAGAGTCACAACCACCCCTCCAGACAGGCACTCAGTAGCCCTTATACCATTCAAATTAGTGAAATTTGAGTAGGAACACGGAATAGGGAGAAACCTCTCAAAGAAGGAAAAACCACACATGAGCAGAAAAACCCTCCAGAGCTAGCCCCCACTTGAAAGCATGGATGCTAGCACACAGCAGGCATTTTCTCATCAGGGTCCCTACAGGTAGAAGGCATGAAGAAACATGGCGGGGAGATCATCAGTAATTCACACTGGTTAAAAAAAAGGCCTTGAGCCTGGGTTGTTAGACGCTATTGGCACATACCTCCTCCAAGAAACGGTCATGCTCTTCCTCCTTGAGAAAATCAATATCCCTTGAAGAAATGATGCCCACCAGTCGACTCCCCATCCGGCCTGTATCTGTGATGGGGATACCACAGAAGCCATGCCTGGCTTTGGCTTCAAAAACATCCCTCACACGATCCTTGGGGCTAAGGACTACAGGATCAGTTATGAATCCCTGTTCATATTTCTGGAAGAGATGGGGAAAGGTCATTGCATCTTTGGAATCACTTTTATCAACGTCCATGCCTAAGTGTCCTGCATAGCAGTATCCAGAACCAAACCAACCCTTCTAATAATGACATGGGTGGCCTGGAAGCACTGTGCACTAGCTTAAGAAACAGGGTTTTTGGGGCTGGAGAGATGGCTCAGCTGTTAAGAGCAATGACTGCTCTTCCAGAGGACCTGGGTTCAATTCCCAGCACCCACATGGCAGCTCACAACTGTCTGCAACTCCAGGCAGGGTCCAACAACAATGCACATAAAAATAGAAACAATTAAAAAAAAAAAAAGCTTGACTCTTTCTTCTCAGTAACTGAACCCGGCAGTGGTAAGAAAGGACCCTTAGCAGAACAAATCCTCCACTCCCAACCCACTCCACCTCTGTAATTCCCAGGAGACTCTAGCCATGGCTTGTCCTTCTGACCTTTACTTTCCGAACTTCATTGGCCTGGAATTCAGGTGTACAGTTGTGGTGGATGAAGCCAATACCTCCTGTAAGCTACAAGATGAACACACAAGTCAGTAAGTGATGACTACAAGACACAACATTTGGCAGAGATGGCAACCTGCCTTGTCCTCCCATGACCCTCTAGGCTCACCGCCATTGCAATGGCCATTCCAGCCTCTGTGACAGTGTCCATAGGTGAGGAAACCAGTGGGGTCTTCAGGGTGATCTTCTTAGTTAGAGCAGAGGTCAAATCCTGAGGAGATAAAGGACCACACTAAAGGAAAAACACAGCTTATTCCTCAGAGTCCATAAAATGGCCCTGGCTGACCTGTAAGTTCACCAGAAAGATCATTCCATCGACTCTACCCCACTTCCCAAAGCTAATTCTCTTGGAGCTGACATCAACAAATACCAGCACCAGCTGGGAGTGATGACCACACACCTATAATCTCCCCACTTGGGATGCAGAGGCAGGTGGATCTCCGAGTTTGAGGCCAACAGTCAGTGCTACAGAAAAATCCTGTCTCGAAAACAAAGTAGCAACCAGCAACACCTTCCCCACTCCTTGTGTTCACAACCCAGTTCATAGAGTGGGCATAGTGGCACACGTCTACAGTACTCTCAGCACTCACAAGAAGCCAGCGCAGTTTGGGGTCAGCCTGGTCAACATAACTAGTTCCAGACGCGCCACAAAGACATATGAGACGATATCAAAAACAAAGTAGAAAAACCCAGTCCGTTATTACACTCACCACTTGGTCGGCAGTGAAGTCGATATACCCAGGAAGAATGAGAAAATCGCTGTAGGAGGGAATTAGGCAGAACGCTCAGGCTTCCCTCTAACACCAAGAGACTCCGACTCCATATATCCCATAAAGCTCTGGGCTGGGAGTTGTACTGAGCGCGTGTGCCCCAGGCAAGATGGCACTGGGTGGATTAGGGACAGGGGGTCTTTCTGCCAACGAGCTAGCTGTCATTAGTGCTCCTGCACACTGACAATCCCGTATGTCCAGAGAAAGGCTAAGACTCAGTACGGTTGAAACTACCCTTTCCAGGCCGGCCTGGCTCCACACCTGTCAAAGTTATTCTCCAGAGACAGGCCATTCATCCCCTGACCCGTTCCCCAAGTCCGCTCCCAGGAGCTCAAGGAATCCCGCATCCGGCCCCCTCGCCCAGCGTGCGGCCCCTCGCCGCCGCCCCGCGCCCAGATGGGTGCCCCAGACCCGCACTTGTAGGTGAGGCCATCCCCGCAGTTGAAGAGCTGCTGCGCTGTGAGCCCGTCGTCGGGCACGTAAGATGTGCCTCCGCTAATCAGGTAGTCCGCCATGGCCAACGAGGAGCA